TAAACCACGCGGTATTAAAGAGACAGCTCACACAATGTAATTAACATCAAAATAAATACACAAGAGCAAGTATATTGTTTGCCCATGTTTGTTTACATTAAAGGCAAAATAACTGAAATGATAAGGGCACAAGTATAGATCTGGAACTTCTTTAATTCTGTCTAAATATCATTTAGTAATTGCGATGTCTTCTGGTCCATATCCTTTCCTTAGGAAGGTGTGCTAGACACTTTCATAAACTTTACTATACTCCTCTGATTATATAATGATAAATATTATAATAACATAGCACAACAACAGTGATCAGCAATAATGATAAGCCTAATACTCACAATAAAAATAATATAGATCATAACACCGTCTCGGAGGCAAGAAGTGGATTATCCTTCACCTGAAATGTTTGTCTTTTCATCCTGAAATGCGAGGCAAATGTTGGATCACAATAATTAGGAACCACAGTTTCCACAAATCCCTTCACTCGATTGGGATGTTCTCTTTTATTCTGGAGGGCAAGGGCAGTGACAGTACCATCGAGCGTATTTTGCAGTATTAAACACGTATTTATACCGATTTCATCAGGCTCCAAAAATTCTTCAAAAAGAACACAAAGAATGGCCTTCTCAGCTGCCATAGTTGCAACTCTCACGTCATCAGAACAGAGTGTTCAATGCACCACCGTTTCCGTTTAAAAAAACGTTTGCACCATTTTATCGGGGCTGAACGCAGCCCTGCTATTGGCTCTTTGCGTCATGTGTCTTGTTCTCATTGGTTGTGTTAGTCATGTGTCCTGTCTCTCATTGGTTGGTTCTTGTCTTGTGACCCTTGTTGTTTGATATAAATAGAGGCTTGTATTGCTTTAGAGCAAAAATACAGTGTATTACAGATCACATCTTGGGGTCATCTGTAATGTATCTGCATGTTTTACACTCTTTGGCCACCAGGTGGTATTGAGAGCAAATGAAGCCTCGAGAAATTAACCCTTTTGTGAACCACTTGGATGAAAAGCTTCAATGCTTCATTAGGCTTCATCTCGCCATCACTACTGTTCATGCCAAGTCAAGTCTGTTCAAGTCTGTTCTTGCCAAGTCAAGTCTCTGTTTGGATTACTTTTGGAATAAAGCTGCACTTGGGTTCTTAATCTCAACTTCAGTGGACTGCTTGTTACATAAATAAAGAGAAACCACTAGTAGGTGGCTGCAAGTCCCTGTTTTAATAGATGTTTTAATAAATGATTAACTGAATCATTCAAATCAAACGATTCGTTCAAAATGGCAGATTCAAATTGAAACGAAGCAAGTGACTATCTTCATGAATAGATTGTTGAATCATTGGCTCATTCGATTTGTTCAAAAATACATTCATTCAAGAATGAAACACCACAGTGTTGCTCCACACATGGGAGAAAGTATGGACTTTGCCTCATAAGTATCTGATCACCAATAAAGTAAAACGTAACTCGCGTTACTTGTAATGCATTACCCCCAACACTGTTTGTAAGTGACTTTTCTTTTTGTTTTAAAAATGCTTTCTTTGGATTGTTTGACTACTCAAAAGAGAATACAGGGAAATTTTACATAATAAATTTGTGTTTCCTGCTAGCTAAATTTCACATCCATAAGCAAAAGTTTACTGGTTCTAAACCTCTCTTTTCATTGTTCAAAGTCGATTTAGACAAGTATATGGCAACTATCCAAAGTTCAGTCAATCTTAAAGCTATGAAAACTGTATTTCTGTGTTCTTCCTTTGAGTCTTTGTAAGGCGTTCATTTGTTTATTTATAATAATAGAATTATAATATTTCATTTGCATGATAAGTTTTACATAATATACAACATTAATCTAAGGCTGATGACACACGGGGCAACTTTTTGAGCAATTTTGCTATGCAACTTTTCATTCATTACCCACAGCAGATGGCGGTAATGGTTCATTTGAGAATGTGAGCCGCCAATAAAAAGAAGAAGAAAAAGTCTTCTTTTGAGGAGGAGGAGTAGTTGAATTATGAATAGCGGTCTGTTGCGCTTTGCTATGGTCAGTCAGGTTTGTAAACAGAATGCCCTTTTGAGCATATAAATCACCAATAAATTCATTAGTCAGTCACAGTCGGTATAAAAATCTCTTTGTTTAGTGGCTTTGTTAACCGTTATCGCTGCCCATCGGGTGAGTGCGTAAATATTCATCGACATTGTATTCAGTCATCGAAATTTCGCTGGAATCTGCAACAATATGAAGAGCACTTTCAGTACCGAGCTGTTTTTATTACTGATGTGCGGTAAGTGTACGATTTCTGGTTATTATTTAACATGTTTAGTTTCACTTTTAACGCCAGAAATGTAAGTTGTTTTTGTTTTAATCCTGGAGTTTCTTATATTAACAGTGATCACTTTAGTCATATAAACAACAAGGCTAGCCTAATTCTTCAACGAATCTTAGTCGGTATAAAAACTTTCTTTTTAAAACAACATGCCACTTAATTGGGGCCTTCTATGCCAATTCTGGGTGGGTCACAGTACCGCCGCTCCCTATACGCAGAGTAGGCTACGCAATTTGCGTAGGGCACCAACTCCCAGGGGGGTACCATCCCATACAGTTGCTCAAAACAAAAATAAAACGCGCCATTCCCGCATCTGCGCTCGCTCTCACCTCATGTTCGGAGAAGGGTATAACTGCAGCCTGGAGATCTCCAAATGGGGGCGGGAGCTCCAAAATAGGGCGTGGCTTCCTCCCATTGACAGACAGGCACATGACACGCATGTGCAATTTCCCCCCCAATCACTTCAGTGCAAACTCCGCCCCACAGCTGATTCTAAAGATTGTATTGGTTGTCAATTAAAGTCTTGATTTCCTACACTGCTACAAAAAATGCTAACCCCTAAACCTACCCCACACCTGACCCTAACCTTAACCAGTGAAACTGACTGCACGGCGGGATTAGTGCTGAATAGCGTGGTAAAGAAAGATGCAGTTCAGGAGATAAACAGCTAATAAGATTATGCGATATGAGATCTTTCCGTAACTCCCCAACCGGACCTCACCGGACAATGGCACCTTTTTAGTTACACCCAGCACCACTACCCCCTCCTACCCTGAGAATTTCGAGCCCCGGGATGCCCCCGTTGCTTGGAACAAAGCCATAGAGTAAAATCTTTTCCCTGCGCTGGGACGGCTCGCGGGAGAGCTCGTGGGTGATTCCCGTTTATATCATGAAGCAGAGGTTCAAACTCCAGTCCGAACACCACTGGCCACGAGCTTTGGGCTCTGCTCTCACGGAGAATATTTACTTGTATAGCATATTTTATTATAGATGAACTAGAAACAATGTTTAATTTTGAAATGTAAGTCAGTAACAATTGGCTGGAGCCAGAGCCAATTGTGAAAGTCTTTGCGCGAGGAGACCCCGCCCCATTTTGGAGGTTCTGCCCACTTTTGGAGTTCACGCCCCATTTTGGAGATCTCCGTTCTGCAGTTATACCTACTTGGATGTTTGCGGCTGAATACAAATGATCATCATAATTAACACTAGAACCGCCAGAGGTCGCTGTTAGGGCTGCACGATAAATCGAAATGGAATCGAGATCGCGATTTGACAGAAGCTGCGATTGTCATGCGTAACTCTAGTCGCTGTATACCTAAAACCGCCAGCGGGTAAATTTTACCCACGCACATGACGGCTGTTGCTGAATAGCTAAAGAACATATTATTTCACTGTATTATGCTAATGTCTTCACAAAGAAGTCATGAAATGATTATGTCTAGTCATCAACTATATTTTTGTCCTGTTGTTTTATGTTCAAAATGTTCAA